ATCTAAAATCAAATGCAACGCCTTGACATTTCAGTGAGGTCTTATCTACAGAACCTTCCATATTCTTTTTGCTTTCATATCATTACACGTTTTGTTTTCTAGGATTGCTTTGTAATAATTTGTACAGTTTTGCATGTTATAGATGTAATCATTTTGCTTTAAGTTTGTTATACTTACTCTTTTGTTTTATTTTATTATATATTTTTTTGGACTGTTTGGGCGTTTTACTGAGATAACCCACTACAGATGATGTAGATTCCTTTTTTTGCACAAAAATATTTAAGGTGTAAGGTCAAAACAAAAGATAACGTATGGAAACTGGCTGCCACCCTTGTGTGGAGAACTCATTATGTTAACCTGACTCCGATGTATTTCAATAAAGCGGAGGGCTGTTATAAATACACCGCGTGTGCTACTGTGTGGTCATTCAATCTTTAGCCAAAAACAAAAAAAGACAACTTTTATTACAAATAAACTTTACTTCTATGAACATGTTTTTACATGACAATGTTGATCTAACATTACAGATTCTATAAACACATTTAAGATAAAGTACTACAATTTGACTACACCTAGCAAAAGTTATGGAATCACCACTCTTAAGAGGTTTCAATTTTTGTATAAAAACATAAATCACAGTCATGCCATAAAACAATCATTCCAACCTTCTGACATTAAACCTAGAAAAAGTCACAGTTGCGTTATTGAAGTAGCTCCAGGTTCCATCATATTTTTTTTTTCCAGATGTTGTATTTTGCTGTGATCTGAGCTCGGTCCTATAAAACAGGTTCAACCAGTCATATGATCAGGCTTCAATAATCCCAAGTGACAAGTGACGAACTGAACCCAGGATTTCTGTCTCTTGGTCAAAGAACCAATCAGACAAAATATACATGTTTGACACATCTTTAAAGCACAAGTAGATAAAACTATGAGATTGGTTGTTTACCATCACAAAGTGAAACAATAAAGTTTTTATATGAGATGTTAGCAAAATATCTGAAACCACTGGACAAGTTGTAATGAAACATTCAGAAATGTATCTTTGGCTGTATATCTACAACTGATCAGATTAATTTCAGTCAACCCAATTCAAGATGGACGCCCACAGCCAACTGACCCCCAAGGAAACTTCAATTCCAAGACAAAACCTGGTGTGGTATCAGCTGAATCATCCACAGACTAATCTGTACTCTTTCATTAGAGACAGAAAAGAAACGCAAAGGTCACTGAAATATTTGAAACCAATAAAATAAAACAAAAAAAAAATTGGATTTAATTGAATATTGTTTTCCCAAACAAAAAAAAAAAACGTAAAACCAATCATTTTCTCAATCTTTACTTTTATTAACTAAGAAGACATCTTAGTGGTATAAAGGTTTACAAGTGTGACACTAAATGTACAAGAAAAACTACTTCAACTCTCCAAAGTATAAACAAAAAAGCAAGAGGACAAACCTGATGTCTCATCTTTGAATAAAAAAAAAACTGAAGTGCAGTTTGTCAGTGTTCACATTTTGTTCTGGACAGGCTCAGTTTAGGTCCAACATCAAATCCTCATCTTTAAAACTAAACATCCTTCATATATTATGTTCTTCGGTTTGGGCTAAGCAGACAACTCAGCTGAGGAACGTTTTAAGGCAAAGATTCAAATTCGTTTCTGAATGCATCACAAAGTGGATCTCTATAATGTCCACAGAACCGGCCACCGGTCCTCAGCGTCTCATCACTCTTCGTTTTCTGCAGAGAGGTTTGAGTGATCCTTCCTGCTGTCAGTTTTAGTTCAGGCTGCAGCTCCGTCCTCCTCCGTCATCCTGTGGATACCGTTTCCAGGGACACTGAGGACTGCTTGAGCTACGGTGCTCAGGTCTTTGATGCTGCTGTGCCGTGATTGGTTCTCCAATCTTAGAGTGGAGTTGTGCCTTGACAGGCAGTCCAGTCGGTTGGTGCTGCAAAGTCTGGACTGGTCACTGAGGCGAGGCATGCTCCCGTAAGGTGGCCGCTCATCTCCTCCCCGGAAACTGGAGTCTGCGTGTCTGTGATGACAAACAACCAGAATGARATTCAGGACAGACAGAGTTTTACACGTAATCTTGAGACACCACCCCCACCTGCTGTCTCTGGAGCGGTGCAGGCTGCCGTGGTAGCTGCTCATCTTGGAGYGTGCACTGCGGATGGAGCCAGCTCGGCTGGTGCTGTTACTGGGAGGCTCGTCCAGCATGGCCAGGTGGGTGGAGGAGGCATGGGTGGAGGTCCCCTGTGTGGACGTCCCTCTGGACTTCCTAACGATGGGCGTGTTGGGGTCTCTGTACAGCAACTGGGCAAAGTCTGGCTCCTGGAGCACCTGTCGACTCCCGTTGACCATTCCACTGCAGCAGGGGGAGGAGGAGAGGGGCAGTGTAGGTGGGGATGGAGAGGTGGGTGCAGTAGAAGAGGATGAGGAGTGGGTGGAACAGGCAGTGGGACAGGAGGTTAATGCTCTGAGTTTGGAGAGGAGGGGGTGAGAAGGACATCAACCAGCCTCACACAGCAGTGACCCACTGCAGGACAACATCTGTCCTCCTGCTCAGAGCTTTGAACTATGAGGCATCTTCTTCATGGCCACTTATAAAACATGTACAATAGGTTGTCTTCAGGCCTAGGCCTCCCTTGATAAAGAGATCCACGATCTCAGTGGGATTTGCCTGGTTAAACAATGGTAAAAAAAATAAAATAGAAATCATCTGTCAGACTGACTGGATGATTTAGTCATGGTCTAAGTCAGTGGTTCCCAACCCTGGTCTTCATGGACCCCTATCCGGCATGTTTTAGGTTTTTTCCCTGCTATTCAGCAGGTCTTCAGAAGATTGTTAATCACTCATTCATTCAAACCAGGTGTGTCAAATCAAGGAAACATCTAAACATGCAGGACGGGAGTCCTTGAGAACCAGGGTTGGGAAGACCATTCTGTCTCCAGGTCCTGCATTTACTGGAAYAGCAGCAACTGCCCAGTCCCAGATTCTTGTGTACTGCGAGTCAGGTTTTTCCACCTACCAGACTGGCGTAGCCTTACTGCACTGGATGTGGCCTCACCTAAAACATGTAAATCTAGTGGAGCCTGGTCCAGTAGGACTTCCACGGCTGCCGTGGGTGTTGAACTAATGGAACCTGTGATGCTCAGGCAGGCCATTCGTTGCACATGCGTGAGCATCACTCTTGCCACCCCAACTTGAACTCGAACCCATAGCATGGGGTGGACTATGGCCGTGTAGATCCACCTGATAACCTTTGGGGTAGCACCCCAAAGACTACCTGCAATTCTACAGCACTGGTGTAGGCACATTGCTGCCTTCTTACACTTTTCATTTACATGTTTTTTCCAGTTAAGCTTCCTGTCTAGTAGGGCTGTGTATTGGCAAGACTTTGGGGATACGATACATATCATGACAGAGGGGTCACGATACGATATATCCCGATATATTGCGATACTGTAAACAAGGTGATATACTGTATTGCGATATTTTTGGTCCAAAAATTCTATTAAATAAAAACCTCTTACCAAAAAAAAAATAAAATTTCATTGTCTCAGAAATTCTAACATTACATAGACATACTTTGGATACATTTAGCTGCGTTCTGCTTTGTATGTATTTTATTTTATTTGTTTCATATTTCTTATTTCATCCATGTTTTTAACTATTAGACATGCGCTACAT